ACACACTGTTAGTGCAAAACACTAGCGATTAAAGCGCAAACTCAATTAAAGTGCAGTAAATTAGAGTGTAATAAGCGACTAAAATACGTAATTATAGCCTATCATCAACACCCCACACTTAAATCATTGCTCGTCCTCGAGCAATCAAACTACAATTTTTTTTATAGACACGACCTTTTTAAACAATTCTCCTAACTCATCACACCAAGAGTATTTAAAATAGACTAAGCACAAAAGCATAACATCTTCACCTCAAGATTTGACTCACAAGTACCACACGTTATTCACAACTCACCCACTTACTCTAATATAGAGGTCACTGACATTACCTTTCCTTCGTGAATCAAGTGCCCTCACACAACAAAAGAGAGTAGTTCCACACAATAAAATTTAAGAACACTTAGGAACTCAAGATAGAAACAATTCACTCACTCTCAGAAATAACATTCATATGCCACAAAAGATGCACCATAAGCTTGCCCGTAGTGTACTACTCTACTAATCGAGCTCATTCAATCTAGGATCAATTAGGACTTTATTTGATTGTAATGTAGGCTACGGGACGGGTATGATATATTTAGATATAAGAGTGACTACACCTCCCTAAGCACTTTAATACATACATTTTAACATTTAAACCCCATACTTATGTCAAACCAAAATTCCACCTTCACATCAATTTATATTACCCCATACTTCTTTAAGCACAATTACAGCAAGAGTCACCACTTATTAAAGAAATACTTCTTCTTTTTTTTCACAGCAATACAACTATATATTTTTTTTCAATTCAAGTGGCTCTTACTTGTTCAAAACAGTGCACCTTTCTCCTGATTTCATTAGTTCCACTCAAAAGCCAAACCAACCATCCCACACTTTAACTTTTACATAAATCATCACAATTCAAGTGCTTATGAGAGGTTAAAAGGTTCAAATAGATAGTCCATTCAAACAAATGGGTAAAGCTTGTAATGTGGTTGCCAAAGAAACATGATTACAGGCTCAAAGGGGTTAACTACGATACATAACAATTAGGCGGGTAAAATATACAAATCTGACTCAACAAAGAAATGCTTATATCACTTCCAAGACTGAACAAAACTACTATTTCGCTTTGCAAACACACGGGGCAAGTTCTAGGCATCAAATGCAATACACAGAATAACACCAAACCTCACACACACATGACACATAACTCACTCAGGATTGGATTCATCAAGACACTCTAGTCAAAGCAGTTAAGCAAATTTAAAATCATACAATTTAAGGTACTTATACAAGAGTCAAAAA